AAATAAAAGGTTAAAATGGTGTAGGTTTATTTGAATAAGACTTACAAGAGCTTCTTTATGTTTACTCTGGGGTTCGCGGCCTCCGTGCCATTGTGTCGTCAATGCCTTCTCGGACATCCGATTTTTCTTCCCGGCTTCGCTTCTAGCCAAGAAAGTCGGATCCGAAGACCAGTGGCGGACGAGGTTTTCCCATACCTCATCCGAACACCATTGAGGCCTTACCCCACTGGCTCGGGCACGCCTAAAAGTGGGGCGAAGCCAGTTTGAAACTCTGGCATTGTACGCCCTTAGAATAGCGGGGCCTTGTTCTTCAGTCCAGCGAAACCGGGCCTTTATTAAAAAAATAAATTAACTTATCATTTGTCAAATTTTAGGTTACATCAATGACGAAAAATTGATTTTTTTACCTTGAACAAGTTCCACCAAAGGTCACGGACCTTAGGATCAACATCCGTGTAAGTCGCCGAGTTGCCAAGAAAGTGTCCACCAATTATGATTTTGATTTGGTTGAGCACATCTTGATCGCTTCAAAAAATTAATATTTTTTTATAGTTAGATTATTTGGCATTAGATAAAATTATTTGACATTATATAAAGTTCATAGTTGCTTACTTAGCAACCATGTGAGGTGTCACCCATTCCGAATCTTCATTGTTGCGCTCGGCTTGGGTTAAGGGCGCATAGTTCGGGCGAGCACGGGATGTGGATTGTTCATTGCTCATCTAAAATAATTGATTAATGAGGAGTATTAATTTACATTTTCAAATAATTGTGTAAATATAATAGAAGATCAAATTTTGATTTAAATAAAGGCAGTTTTTAAAAAACAGTTTTTTTAAAACAGTTTTTTATAAAACAGTTTTTTATAAAACAGGTTTTTATAAAACAGGTTTTTATAAAACAGGTTTTTATAAAACAGGTTTTTATAAAACAGTTTTTTATAAAACAGTTTTTTATAAAACAGTTTTTTATGTCTACCTCAACATTTTACAATTATTAACATGTTAAACTTTTTTGGAAGTTTGACATGAGGGGGTATTTTGTTTAATTACTTCGGGAAACTTTTTAATTAAAACGGCTATATTTATTAAACAGTGTTTTTTGATAGTCTATATTTTATATTAAATTTGAGAAAACTGTTTTTTAATGTCTAACTTATTATTTTATAATTATTAACATGTTAAACTTTTTTGGAAGTTTGACATGAGGGGGTATTTTTTTTAATTACTTCGGGAAAACTTTTTAATTAAAACGTTTTATTTATTAAACAGTGTTTTTTCATAGTGTATATTTTATATTAAATTTGACAAAACTGTTTTTTAATGTCTAACTTAATATTTTATAATTATTAACATGTTAAACTTTTTTGGAAGTTTGACATGAGGGGGTATTTTTTTTAATTACTTCGGGAAAACTTTTTAATTAAAACAGTTTATTTATTAAACAGTGTTTTTTCATAGTATAATCTATTTTAAATTTGAGAAAAATGTTTTTTCATGTCTAACTTAATATTTTATAATTAACATGTTAAACGTTTTTGGAGGTTTAACACGAGGGGGTATTTCTTTAATTATTTGGGAATATAATGTAATTAGGCATACATATTAATTAAACTAACTCATGTTCTTTAATTCATAAGTCCGAAATTAAAAAAGATAATGTTTAATCATGCATGTTTAACTTATAAGGAAGTCTTATGTAGACATACATATTAATTAAACTTATACACAACCAATATAGGCATGCCAATTAAACATATATACAAACTAAATCATGTTATATTGAGCATATAGAACATGTAATAAACTGAATCATGCCAATTATATTGAGCATATAAAACATGTAATTAAACTTATACACAACAAATAAAGGCATGCCAATTAAACATATATACAAACTAAATCATGTTATCTTGAGCATATAGAACATGTAATAAACTGCACATATTAACATGTATTTCGAAAAAACGTGTGCTTAACATGTATTTCAAAAAAATGTGTGCTTCTAATATTAATTAATAACATGCATTCAAAAATGAATTTAATAACATGTACAGAAAACAAGTATTTCGAAAACTAAATTACATTTCAATTCTAAAATTAAAGCAATATTATAAACTAAATGAAATTATATTTTGAAATCATATTACTCCACATGCATCAATTTGAGATACTAACTAAAATCAAATTACATATACATAAATCAATTTGAGCATATTAACTAAATCATATTAAACAATTTGAGAATAATGGGAACACACTTATCATAACATGCATTTTTAAAATAAAAATCAAATACTAAAAATAAGAATTAAAGGTAAATCAAATTTAGAATACATAACCTTTATGAAAAAGGAAGGAGGCGGCCGACAGTGGCAGAAGACGGTGGCAGCGAACGGCGGCGGCGAAAGGCGGCAGCGAACGGTGGCAGCGAACGGCGGCAGCGAACGGTGGCAGCGAACGGTGGCAGCGAACGGTTGAAGGCAGAGTTGGAGTTGAGATCGGTGGAGTGTAGAAGAGTTAGGGAGAAAGAGGTAGGGTTTAGGGTTTTGGCCGGTTTGAAAGGAATGCGGAATGAAAAATCAGCTAAGTGTTGATTTTATATTAAGGCGTAGTCACGGACCTAGTCACGGATAATCCGTCGTAAATTACGAAGTTAGACGCGCGGCAGACGAGGTGTCAGGGCCGCCTTTGACCGCCTTAGTCACGGACCTGTCCGTTTTTTGAATTATTCACGGATTTAGTCACGGACCGTCCGTGACTAAATACTTTCCATCCGTTCAGCTCGCGCAGACCGGCGTCAGGCGACAGTGGAATAAATTCCACTTTATTATATTCGATTTTTGAGTATAAATAGATGATTTCCGGTCCAATGTTTGTGAAAAAAATGGCTAATCGAGAACCAATTGACTGGGATTCGATGTGCAGAACTATGAAATGACTCAAGCTAATTACACAGCTTATGGAGCCGAAAACCGTTGAAGCATACCAGAGAATCACGGAGTTGATGGCTAGACCCCTTGAAAGTTTTGGCGACTATAAAGATGAGGAATTCGACTCACTCGGCAAGTCAAAAGCAAACAACTTGTGTCGGATGCTTCAACGTGCAGAAGAATGTTCGGAGTATATGCATCCGATCAACGAAGAAGCTTAAAGGAAAATTCACGAGCTGTTGGCTAGGCCTCATGAAAGTTTTGATATTGATGAATAATTTTGTATTTGTTTGTTTGGTTATTATGATAAATGATTAATGTTTCGTTAGTTGGTTGTGATAATTATGATAAATTATCTTTTACGGAGTAATAATGATGAAGAAAAAAATCAAATATTGTTGGACTACAATAATAATGAAGAAAAGAGTACAAATATTCGAACTCAAAAAAATTGTAATACAACAATACAATTAGTCACTATCAGAGTCATTATTTTCTACATATACAACATCTTCTTCTGTATCAGAACCGTCTATCCATTCTCCTTCTTGCTGATAATAAGCATTTTGTTGTTCTTCATGCATTTCAACAATTTCGCGCTCAGATGGAATTGTTAGGTCCGGAAGGTGCGTTTCTGGCATGACTTCAACACTTCCCCCATTTGGATTACTTAGCTGAATGTGCTGGTTGACCGTCTCAACAATCGGTGGAGGTTGGAAAAAATGTTGCTGAAAAGCATCTAAATCAACGTCCTTGTGTTGAGTTTGTGATACAATTTTGCTCGGACGGACAGTACATGCACACACCCAAGGATTCTGTGTCCGCCTGGTTGAAGGATATTCTGTATAATAAATCTAGGCTGTTTGTTGAGCAAGTATAAAAGGCTCATTTTTCGTATACACGCGAGAGTGGTTGACGTCAATCATATTATACTTTGAATTTTTTCGCACACCACGTGTTGGATCAATCCATTTGCAGCGGAACAAAACGCATGTCAACTTTTTCCCAGCAGAAGGCATTTCCAGTTCGAGAATCTCGTGCAAGACACCAAAAAACCAGGTTTCCGAGTTATCATAACCGATTGTTGGGACACATAACCCGCTGTTCACTGTTGGTCGGCCCTATCCGTAAGCGACTGTGTGATAGGTGTAACCGTTTATCACATATGACCGCCAAACTTTGGCGTAGGCACCAGGGCCCCACGATAATGATACTAACAAAGGGTCCACAATCCCACGGTTATTGATCTGTAAATTAAAACACGATAACATTGGGTAATTATTAAATATTATTAATTAATAATATATATAATTAATGTGTGTGTATGTATATATACCTGATGTTTGTACCACGGTATAAAATGAGAGTCCACCAATGCATCAATTTCATTGTCAGGGAATGCTGAGTACTCCGCTCTAAATTCACTGTGAAGTCAAACATGAAAATATTATAAATCAACTACCTTAATTGTATATATATTACAAAGATAACTACAAATTTAACTTACTGATAAAACGGTAAGATTTCTGGACAATTAATGAGCATATAAGTATGCGCAATTTGTAATTCTTTTCCCACGATGTATCGGTTTGTCCAAGCTCCTTTACCTCTACCTGGGTAATTGAAAATGGAAACTACATTTTCATACAAATCCTCGCCAATGTCATCGTTTCGGGCAGGTCTCTTTCTTCTAGTGATTACTTCACGCTCAAAATAAAAAGATGAGAACGTTGAGATTTCTTGTTGAAGATATGCTTGACAAATTGTGACACCCCGATTTTATGAGCTAGTCATATTAATCAATATTAATATTTATTTTAGTCAGTTAAATAAGTTTTTCTATGACTAATGTGATTTATTGTGTGATCACGTGTTGTTCTGGCAGGTAACGTTGACCGGTAAGCTGTAACAATTTTTAAGTGAAGGAAATAAGTAATGTTTTAAAGCTTAATCAGTCTATTTTGAAATAGAGAATACTTTTAATGTTGGATTTTTTTAAGAATATTAGGAGCCCAAATCAATGTAGCCCAAATAAGTCTCTTTTATACTAAATCCCTAGAGAAGTTACGCCACTTTCTTCCATAAGAGCAGAGTACTACTCTATTTTCCTCCTCTCTGCAGCCGCGACCGTTTCTCCCACCTCCCATCTCCCTGATATCTTTGTTTTCCTTTTCCTTCCTCTGAGAAATTTTCCATTTAATCATAAAAGCTCTCATGCCGTTGTAGCAAAACTCTTGTCTGGTAAGTTCAAGTTCCAATCATTCGTATCTAGCAACTTTATGGATTAGTCAATTCCCTAATATAATCAGTTAGTTTAATTTTATTTATTTACTTTGAGGAGTGCTTTCATCCTTTGTTAGATCTCTAGGGGGCAGAGCAAAAAAAAACCAGTATAATAAACTAGTAGTTAAAAATATTTAGAAGCTCATTTTATATCCAGAAATTTTGTATCATATTTAGTTAGTAAGGTTTTTCTTAAAGTGCGTATTTCACAGATATAGTTAGCAGTCATTCCAAATTTTATTTGAAGCTTGTATGCAGCAGTAGTATATTTTATATCCCATTAGTTTTTTTAGCATATAATTTAACTTTAAATCTGTCCCAGAAGAAGTCAATCTGTATAGGGACTCTTTTTTTTTTTAAAAAAAAGTTGATATCTAGCAAAGGCCGTTTAATTGAGTGGTTGGTCGGATATTTCAGAAAGACAACTTCGATTTTAGAGTATTGGCTTACAATAATACAGTTAAAGTTTTGGGTTATAGTAATAACGGGTATTAATTGTAATGTTATACTACTTATCTAATTAAAGATTTCAAAGAAGAGTTTACCGGAAGACGTTATCAAGGTGCCATTCATATCTAAGTGATTTGAGTTCAGCTTTGACAGGTAAGTTCACTACCACCTGTACATGTTTGTTCAACCAAATGAAAGAAAGAAATCTGGTTGATTTTTAGTAGATGATTTCAGACTATTTGCTATTATGTGAGCTTAGTGAATTATTTGATGAGTTATTGTAATTGTTGTATTAAGTTATGTTTATTATCTGGCATAGTCAAGATTGTGTCAGTACTTTATTTAAAGATTTTAATGATGTTTTTACCCAAACGTCACTATAAAAAAGAACTAATATTTAAAGTGAAAGATCATGTGATATGTACTCGGGAACAAGTTCCCTCAGATTATCAGTTTAACAGTTTCAGAGAGTCCGATATGTTTAGTGGGTCGCTCCCCTGAGTTGTCGGATTGGCGCCTTTGAGTACATATCACGGGCCCACAGTTAAAATTAGCCACAAAGAGTTTTACAAAAAGTCTATGAGATTCCCTTTCAGAAAGTTTTACAGAAAGTTGCTTTCGAGGTCTCTTTCATAAAGTTTTACATAGGTGTTTTGAGAAAGAAATTTTGAGATCTCTCCATTAGTTTTGAGAAATTATTTTAGAAAATATTTTTTAGAACCTCTCTTAGAATTTATTTTGAGAAGCTATTTGTTAGTTGTTTGTTTAGTGCACGCTTATAGCCTAAATTTATCTATTGATAAATTAGTACAGACTTCTCAGATATTTTGTGGATTCATAGTGTCTTACTAAGCGTAAAGCTTATCAGTTTTCTTTCTTCGCATGTATAGATACTAAGGGTAAGGCCAAGGCCTAGGAAGATGAAGAGGGAGTGGAACGCGTGCCAAGATGAGTTAACGGGAACGACCTTGGCGGATTCTAGCTAATTTTTATTTTACTCCAGTATTTCAGTTGTTAGAATAAAAGATTATTATTACTTCATTTTATTTGAGGATTGAAGTTTGAATAAATTCTTGGATCCAGGTGGTTATCACATTTGCTGATGATAACTAGATTTTATTGAGTTTTTATTTGGAGTTATATTTTAGTTATATTTGAGTTTTTATCAGGGTTATTTCTTAAACAAACGGCCGTTATATTGCAGTTTTTTTTTAGTACTAAGTTTATGTAACGTTTCCTTTAACCCTGAGAGGGGCGTTACAAATTTGGTATCAGAGCCCAGGTTGTCCCGTAACTTCATTTGTCACCGTACACGTGCTCGTCATCTTCCAAGTAAGTATTTAAAGTTAGTTTTAAATTTTTGTGCTTGAGCAAGAAGAGTTTTACTAGATAGAGAACCGAAGTGAGAATGTTTTGCCTTTTGTATTGTGTATGACACATAAATAAAAGTTTATATTTAGGTGCCTTAAGAAAATGAGGAGGACCCGTGGTCGTCCAGTTGGTAACAACAATGAGCAAGGAAACAATCACGAGCAGGATTTGGCAGGATTAGTAGCGCAACTTCAGAGGCAGTTGCAGGAGCAGCAACAAACCATCGACCGTTTGACCGCGAACAATCAAAGGGGCGGTGGTGAAGGGGAAAATGCTGGAAATAATCATGCTAGAGGGCACGGAGCACCGAGACAAGAACCTTTGATGATCACATGGAGGAAGATCAAGCCCGCAGATTTCGAGGGGGGTCCAGACCCTCTAGCTGCTCAGGGATGGCTGAAGACCGTGGAAGGCATTGCTAATGGGTTGGAACTAGCAGATAATGACAAGGTTCGATGTGCATCTTACAGCCTCACCATGGATGCTCGAATATGGTGGGAGACTGTGGAAACAAGGTACAACATCGCGCAGATGACATGGGAGCAGTTCAAAGAGGAGTTCACCAACCAGTATTTCAACGCTAGTGTCACACGTAGGTACCGGGATGAGCTTCAGAGTCTACGCCAGGGAACCATGGATGTTACAACCTTGGTGGCAAAATTTCAAAGACTGCTACGTATTTGTCCTACAGCTGCGCCGACAGAAAGAGATAAGGTGAGGATGTTCCTGGCAGCTCTTAGGAAGGATATAGCAGTTCACTTGGAGAATGGCAATCAGACTCCAGCTACACTAGCTGACTGTGTTTTTATAGCAACTCAAAAGGAGTACTACATCTCTAGCGGTCCAGTACCCGCTCAGCCGCAGCCTGTGCCTTCACAGTCACAGAATCAGTCACAACGACACATGAACAATTCGAAGAGTAACAAGAAGAGAAATTTCACGGGCAATGATGGAAAAGGAGCTGGTCACCATCAGGGACACCAAAATAAACAGATGAAATTTCCACAGTGTACAAATTGTGGCCGTAATCATCCAGGCCAATGCAGATTAGGTTCTAGAGCTTGCTACACTTGCGGCCTTGAGGGCCATATGTCGAGAGATTGTCCAAGAAAGAATCAGCAAAACTACCAGATCACTCACATGCCAAGAAATCCAACACCTTCAGCGGTTGTCCATAATATGCAGGCTTATCTAGAAGGACCATCCATCCAGCAAGGGCGTCTTGAGGCACCACCAGAGGCTCCGGTTGCTAGAGTGTTCACAATCTCGAAAGAGGAGGCATCGATAAATCCCGGTGTTGTCACAGGTCAGATACTTGTTCTTAATAGATACGCTAATGTGCTATTTGACACTGGAGCCACACATTCCTTTGTATCTCTTGAGTTTGCTAGATCGTTAGCAGCACATCAAGATAAGTTAGATTGTAAGTTCACCACAGCACTTCCGTCAGGAGAGATCATGTTGTCGACTCATTGGTTACGAGCAGTGCCAATGAGTATTGCAGGGAGAGAGTTATTTGTGGATCTGATCGTGCGTGATATGAGAGATTATGATGTGATTCTTGGCATGGATTTTCTGCAGAAGTATAGTGCTTCAATTATATGCTGAAAAAGAATTGTTAGTTTTGCGCCTGCAGGGTCTAATCCTTTCTTGTTTCTTGGGGAGCCAAAAGGATCAGGGAAAGTGATGATTTCTGCATTGCAAGCAAGGAGACTTATTCGGAGTGGATGTGAAGCTTTCTTAGCTCACATTGTAGACAAGAGCACTGGAGAACCCATTCAGTTATCTGAAGTTCAATTGTGGAGGATTACAGTGATGTTTTCCCCGAAGATCTTCCTGGACTACCACCGAGTAGAGAGATTGAGTTCGAGATTGAGCTGCTGCCCGGTACTGCACCAATATCTAGAGCACCATATCGAATGGCCCCAGCGGAGTTACAAGAACTCCACAAACAGTTGCAGGAGTTACTAGAGAAGGGTTTCATTCGGCCCAGTTACTCACCGTGGGGAGCTCCAGTATTGTTCGTGAAGAAGAAGGATGGCACAATGAGGTTGTGCATAGATTATAGAGAGCTCAATAAAGTGACTATCAAGAATAGGTATCCCCTGCCTAGAATTGATGACCTGTTTGACCAGTTGAAGGGAGCGGTGATTTTCTCCAAGATCGACCTTCGTTCAGGGTATCATCAGCTAAGAATCAAGGAAGGTGACATCCCAAAAACAGCTTTCAGGTCGCGGTATGGACACTATGAATTTGTGGTTATGCCTTTCGGCCTGACTAATGCTCCAGCGGCGTTCATGGATTTGATGAATAGAGTGTTCAGGGAGTTTCTTGACAAGTTTGTCATTGTTTTCATTGATGATATTTTGATCTACTCAGAGTCCAAGGAGGAGCATGAAAAACACTTGAGAGAAGTACTGGAGACACTGAGAAAACATAAGCTATATGCTAAGTTTTCAAAGTGTGAGTTCTGGCTTGATCATGTAGCATTCCTTGGCCACGTAGTTTCAAAGCAGGGGGTTTCGGTGGATCCCTCAAAAGTAGCAGCTGTTCGAGATTGGAGCAGGCCGAAGAATGCGAAAGAAGTTCGAAGTTTCTTATGCCTTGCGGGGTATTATAGGAAGTTTGTGGAAGGCTTCTCTGCTATAGCTCTTCCATTGACTATCTTGACCCGTAAGGGTAAGAAATTTGAGTGGACTGGTCGTTGTGAGGAGAGTTTCCAAGAGCTGAAAGATAGGTTGACATCTGCACACGTTTTAGCACTCCCAGAAGGCAAGGAAGGGTTTGTTATCTTCACAGACGCATCGAAGATGGGACTTGGAGCAGTTCTTATGCAGAATGAACGAGTTATTGCTTGGACTCTGAGTAGATCAGTTGTGGAGGATTACAGTGATGTTTTTCCCGAAGATCTTCCTGGACTACCACCGAGTAGAGAGATTGAGTTCGAGATTGAGCTGCTGCCCGGTACTGCACCAATATCTAGAGCACCATATCGAATGGCCCCAGCGGAGTTACAAGAACTCCACAAACAGTTGCAGGAGTTACTAGAGAAGGGTTTCATTCGACCCAGTTACTCACCGTGGGGAGCTCCAGTATTGTTCGTGAAAAAGAAGGATGGCACAATGAGGTTGTGCATAGATTATAGAGAGCTCAATAAAGTGACTATCAAGAATAGGTATCCCCTGCCTAGAATTGATGACCTGTTTGACCAGTTGAAGGGAGCGGTGATTTTCTCCAAGATCGACCTTCGTTCAGGGTATCATCAGCTAAGAATCAAGGAAGGTGACATCCCAAAAACAGATTTCAGGTCGCGGTATGGACACTATGAATTTGTGGTTATGCCTTTCGGCCTGACTAATGCTCCAGCGGCGTTCATGGATTTGATGAATAGAGTGTTCAGGGAGTTTCTTGACAAATTTGTCATTATTTTCATTGATGATATTTTGATCTACTCAGAGTCCAAGGAGGAGCATGAAAAACACTTGAGAGAAGTACTGGAGACACTGAGAAAACATAAGCTTTCAAAGTGTGAGTTCTGGCTTGAGCATGTATCATTCCTTGGCCACGTAGTTTCAAAGCAGGGGGTTTCGGTGGATCCCTTAAAAGTAGCAGCTGTTCGAGATTGGAGCAGGCCGAAGAATGCGAAAGAAGTTCGAAGTTTCTTAGGCCTTGCGGGGTATTATAGGAAGTTCGTGGAAGGCTTCTCTGCTATAGCTCTTCCATTGACTACCTTGACCCGTAAGGGTAAGAAATTTGAGTGGACTGGTCGTTGTGAGGAGAGTTTCCAAGAGCTGAAAGATAGGTTGACATCTGCACCCGTTTTAGCACTCCCAGAAGGCAAGGAAGGGTTTGTTATCTTCACAGACGCATCGAAGATGGGACTTGGAGCAGTTCTTATGCAGAATGAACGAGTTATTGCTTATGCGTCTCGGCAACTCAAGGACTATGAAGCGAATTATCCTACCCGTGACTTGGAGTTGGCAGCGGTGATACAAGCGTTGAAGATTTGGAGACATTACTTGTATGGAGTCCAGTGCAAGATCTTCACTGATCACAAAAGCCTGAAATACATATTCACACAGAAGGACCTCAACATGAGGCAAAGAAGGTGGCTTGAGCTAGTGAAAGACTATGATTGTGAGATCCTTTATCATCCGGGGAAAGCTAACAAGGTAGCAGATGCACTTAGTAGGAAGTCTTCTGCAACAGTAATGTCCATGATGGTAATGGATCCAAGGCTGAGGAAGGAAATTGAAGATTTTGAGTTGGAGATTGTAGTAGGTGGGCGACTAGCAGCTATGACAGCGACTCCATCAATATTTGGGAACATGGCTATGAAGCAAGAACTTGATCCTGAGTTAGTTAAGTTGAAAGAGTGTGTCAAGGAGGGAAAATGTCCCGAATTCCGTGTGGATCAAACTGGAAGATTATTACTCCATAATAGGTTGTGCATCCCAGACATTGAGGGGTTGAGGAAGCAGATTATGAAGGAGGCTCATGAGACATCATTTACTATGCATCCTGGTTCGACCAAGATGTACCACGACCTGAAGAAAAACTTTTGGTGGTCAGGGATGAAGAAAGATGTTGCAAAGTTCGTTCAGTCATGTTTGACATGTCAACAAGTTAAGGCTGAACATCAAAGGCCAGGTGGAGAACTTCAACCTATCCAGATTCCGGAGTGGAAATGGGATGAGATATCAATGGACTTTATTATGGGTTTGCCGAAGACAACTGGAGGTTATGACGCTATATGGGTTATAGTGGACAGATTGACTAAATCTGCTCATTTTATCCCAATTTCAGCAAGTATTTCTTTGGAGAAGTTGGCAAAAATATATATACAGGAGATTGTTAGATTGCATGGTGTTCCGAAGAGTATCATTTCTGATAGAGATTCCAGATTTACGTCTCACTTTTGGAAGTGTGTACAACAATCATTGGGCACGAAGTTGAAGTTTAGTACCGCTTTTCATCCTCAGACAGATGGCCAGACAGAGAGAACAAATCAGATTTTAGAAGATATGTTACGGGCATGCACTCTAGATTTTCAAGGAGGATGGGCAAAATACCTTAGTTTGGCAGAGTTTGCTTATAATAACAGTTATCAAGCAACCATCGGCATGGCTCCATATGAGGCGTTGTATGGGAGAAGGTGTAGATCTCCCATATCATGGCATGAAACGGGAGAAAAGAAGATTCTAGAAGAGGAACTACAAGGAAGGACTGAGTTGATAGATGAGACTTCAGAAGCTATTAAGACTATCCGACAAAGGATAGAGTCTGCCCATTGCAGACAGAAAAGTTATGCAGATGTTCGAAGGAGACCTCTAGAATTCGAAGTGGGGGATTTTGTTTTCGTCAAGATAGCCCCGATGAAGGGTGTGATGCGATTTGGGAAGAAAGGAAAGCTTAGCCCCAGATTCACCGGACCATATGAGATCACTAGACGAGTTGGGAAGGTAGCTTATGAGCTCGCGCTACCAGAAGAGTTCTCTGGCATTCATAATGTCTTTCATGTTTCAATGTTGAGAAAATACTTTGCTGATCCAGAGCATGTTTTGATACCCCCAATAGTAGAAGTGCAAAAAGATTTGTCATACGATGAGAAGCCGGTACAAATCCTTGACCGAGAGGTTAGACGTCTCCGGAATAAAGAGATAGCTCTAGTAAAAGTGTTGTGGCAAAATCAAAAAGTTGAAGAAACTACTTGGGAGGTTGAGGACGACATGAGGCGTCGTTATCCCGAGTTGTTCTAAGTTTCGAGGACGAAACTTTTATAAGGTGGGAGGGGTTGTGACACCCCGATTTTATGAGCTAGTCATATTAATCAATATTAATATTTATTTTAGTCAGTTAAATAAGTTTTTCTATGACTAATGTGATTTATTGTGTGATCACGTGTTGTTCTGGCAGGTAACGTTGACCGGTAAGCTGTAACAATTTTTAAGTGAAGGAAATAAGTAATGTTTTAAAGCTTAATCAATCTATTTTGAAATAGAGAATACTTTTAATGTTGGATTTTTTAAAGAATATTAGGAGCCCAAATCAATGTAGCCCAAATAAGTCTCTTTTATACTAAATCCCTAGAGAAGTTACGCCACTTTCTTCCATAAGAGCCGAGTACTACTCTATTTTCCTCCTCTCTGCAGCCGCGACCGTTTCTCCCACCTCCCATCTCCCTGATATCTTTGTTTTCCTTTTCCTTCCTCTGAGAAATTTTCCATTTAATCATAAAAGCTCTCATGCCGTTGTAGCAAAACTCTTGTCTGGTAAGTTCAAGTTCCAATCATTCGTATCTAGCAACTTTATGGATTAGTCAATTCCCTAATATAATCAGTTAGTTTAATTTTATTTATTTACTTTGAGGAGTGCTCTCATCCTTTGTTAGATCTCTAGGGGGCAGAGCAAAAAAAAAACCAGTATAATAAACTAGTAGTTAAAAAAATTTAGAAGCTCATTTTATATCCAGAAATTTTGTATCATATTTAGTTAGTAAGGTTTTTCTTAAAGTGCGTATTTCACAGATATAGTTAGCAGTCATTCCAAATTTTATTTGAAGCTTGTATGCAGCAGTAGTATATTTTATATCCCATTAGTTTTTTTAGCATATAATTTAACTTTAAATCTGTCCCAGAAGAAGTCAATCTGTATAGGGACTCTTTTTTTTAAAAAAAAAAAGTTGATATCTAGCAAAGGCCGTTTAATTGAGTGGTTGGTCGGATATTTCAGAAAGACAACTTCGATTTTAGAGTATTGGCTTACAATAATACAGTTAAAGTTTTGGGTTATAGTAATAACGGGTTTTAATTGTAATGTTATACTACTTATCTAATTAAAGATTTCAAAGAAGAGTTTACCGGAAGACGTTATCAAGGTGTCATTCATATCTAAGTGATTTGAGTTCAGCTTTGACAGGTAAGTTCACTACCACCTGTACATGTTTGTTCAACCAAATGAAAGAAAGAAATCTGGTTGATTTTTAGTAGATGATTTTAGACTATTTGCTATTATGTGAGTTTAGTGAATTATTTGATGAGTTATTGTAATTGTTGTATTAAGTTATGTTTATTATCTGGCATAGTCAAGATTGTGTCAGTACTTTATTTCAAGATTTTAATGATGTTTTTACCCAAACGTCACTATAAAAAAGAACTAATATTTAAAGTGAAAGATCATGTGATATGTACTCGGGAACAAGTTCCCTCAGATTATCAGTTTAACAGTTTCAGAGAGTTCGATATGTTTAGTGGGTCGCTCCCCTGAGTTGTCGGATTGGCGCCTTTGAGTACATATCACGGGCCCACAGTTAAAATTAGCCACAAAGAGTTTTACAGAAAGTCTATGAGATTCCCTTTCAGAAAGTTTTATAGAAAGTTGCTTTCGAGATCTCTTTCAGAAAGTTTTACAGAGGTGTTTTGAGAAAGAAATTTTGAGATCTCTCCAATAGTTTTGAGAAATTATTTTAGAAAATATTTTTAGAACCTCTCTTAGAATTTATTTTGAGAAGCTATTTGTTAGTTGTTTGTTTAGTGCACGCTTATAGCCTAAATTTATCTATTGATAAATTAGTACAAACTTCTCAGATATTTTGTGGATTCATAGTGACTTACTAAGCGTAAAGCTTATCAGTTTTCTTTCTTCGCATGTACAGATTCTAAGGGTAAGGCCAAGGCCTAGGAAGATGATGAGGGAGTGGAACGCGTGCCAAGATGAGTTAACGAGAACGACCTTGGCGGATTCTAGCTAATTTTTATTTTACTCCAGTATTTCAGTTGTTAGAATAAAAGATTATTATTACTTTATTTTATTTGAGGATTGAAGTTTGAATAAATTCCTGGATCCAGGTGGTTATCACATTTGCTGATGATAACTAGATTTTATTGAGTTTTTATTTGGAGTTATATTTTAGTTATATTTGAGTTTTTATCAGGATTATTTCTTAAACAAACGGCCGTTATATTACAGTTTTTTTTTAGTACTAAGTTTATGTAACGTTTCCTTTAATCCTGAGAGGGGCGTTACAAATTTGGTATCAGAGCCCAGGTTGTCCCGTAACTTCATTTGTCACCGTACACGTGCTTGTCATCTTCCAAGTAAGTATTTAAAGTTAGTTTTAAATTTTTGTGCTTGAGCAAGAAGAGTTTTACTAGATAGAGAACCGAAGTGAGAATGTTTTGCCTTTTGTATTGTGTATGGCACATAAATAAAAGTTTATATTTAGGTGCCTTAAGAAAATGAGGAGGACCCGTGGTCGTCCAGTTGGTAGCAACAATGAGCAAGGAAACAATCACGAGCAGGATTTGGCAGGATTAGTAGCGCAACTTCAGAGGCAGTTGCAGGAGCAGCAACAAACCATCGACCGTTTGACCGCGAACAATCAAAGGGGCGGTGGTGAAGGGGAAAATGCTGGAAATAATCATGCTAGAGGGCACGGATCACCGAGACAAGAACCTTTGATGATCACATGGAGGAAGATCAAGCCCGCAGATTTCGAGGGGGGTCCAGACCCTCTAGCTGCTCAGGGATGGCTGAAGACTGTGGAAGGCATTGCTAATGGGTTGGAACTAGCAGATAATGACAAGGTTCGATGTGCATCTTACAGCCTCACCATGGATGCTCGAATATGGTGGGAGACTGTGGAAACAAGGTACAACATCGCGCAGATGACATGGGAGCAGTTCAAAGAGCAGTTCACCAACCAGTATTTCAACGCTAGTGTCACACGTAGGTACCGGGATGAGCTTCAGAGTCTACGCCAGTGAACCATGGATGTTACAACCTTGGCGGCAAAATTTCAGAGACTGCTACGTATTTGTCCTACAGCTGCGCCGACACAAAGAGATAAGGTGAGGATGTTCCTGGCGGCTCTTAGGAAGGATATAGCAGTTCACTTGGAGAATGGCAATCAGACTCCAGCTACACTAGCTGACTGTGTTTTTATAGCAACTCAAAAGGAGTACTACATCTCTAGCGGTCCAGTACCCGCTCAGCCGCAGCCTGTGCCTTCGCAGTCACAGAATCAGTCACAACGACACATGAACAATTCGAAGAGTAACAAGAAGAGAAATTTCACGGGCAATGATGGAAAAGGAGCTGGTCACCATCAGGGACACCAAAATAAACAGATGAAATTTCCACAGTGTACAAATTGTGGCCGTAATCATCCAGGCCAATGCAGATTGGGTTCTAGAGCTTGCTACACTTGCGGCCTTGAGGGCCATATGTCGAGAGATTGTCCAAGAAAGAATCAGCAAAACTACCAGATCACTCACATGCCAAGAAATCCAACACCTTCAGCGGCTGTCCATAATATGCAGGCTTATCTAGAAGGACCATCCATCCAGCAAGGGCGTCTTGAGGCACCACCAGAGGCTCCGGTTGCTAGAGTGTTCACAATCTCGAAAGAGGAGGCATCGATAAATCCCGGTGTTGTCACAGGTCAGATACTTGTTCTTAATAGATACGCTAATGTGCTATTTGACACTGGAGCCACACATTCCTTTGTATCTCTTGAGTTTGCTAGATCGTTAGCAGCACATCAAGATAAGTTAGATTGTAAGTTCACCACAGCACTTCCGTCAGGAGAGATCATGTTGTCGACTCATTGGTTACGAGCAGTGCCAATGAGTATTGCAGGGAGAGAGTTATTTGTGGATCTGATCGTGCTTGATATGAGAGATTATGACGTGATTCTCGGCATGGATTTTCTGCAGAAGTATAGTGCTTCAATTATATGCCGAAAAAGAATTGTTAGTTTTGCGCCTGCAGGGTCTAATCCTTTCTTGTTTCTTGGGGAGCCAAAAGGATCAGGGAAAGTGATGATTTCTGCATTGCAAGCAAGGAGACTTATTCGGAGTGGATGTGAAGCTTTCTTAGCTCACATTGTAGACAAGAGCACTGGAGAACCCATTCAGTTATCTGAAGTTCCAATTGTGGAGGATTACAGTGATGTTTTTCCCGAAGATCTTCCTGGACTACCACCGAGTAGAGAGATTGAGTTCGAGATTGAGCTGCTGCCCGGTACTGCACCAATATCTAGAGCACCATATCGAATGGCCCCAGCGGAGTTACAAGAACTCCACAAACAGTTGCAGGAGTTACTAGAGAAGGGTTTCATTCGGCCCAGTTACTCACCGTGGGGAGCTCCAGTATTGTTCGTGAAAAAGAAGGATGGCACAATAAGGTTGTGCATAGATTATAGAGAGCTCAATAAAGTGACTATCAAGAATAGGTATCCCCTGCCTAGAATTGATGACCTGTTTGACCAGTTGAAGGGAGCGGTGATTTTCTCCCAGATCGACCTTCGTTCAGGGTATCATCAGCTAAGAATCAAGGAAGGTGACATCCCAAAAACAGCTTTCAGGTCGTGGTATGGACACTATGAATTTGTGGTTATGCCTTTCGGCCTGACTAATGCTCCAGCGGCGTTCATGGATTTGATGAATAGAGTGTTCAGGGAGTTTCTTGACAAGTTTGTCATTGTTTTCATTGATGATATTTTGATCTACTCAAAGTCCAAGGAGGAGCATGAAAAACACTTGAGAGAAGTACTGGAGACACTGAGAAAACATAAGCTATATGCTAAGTTTTCAAAGTGTGAGTTCTGGCTTGATCATGTAGCATTCCTTGGCCACGTAGTTTCAAAGCAGGGGGTTTCGGTGGATCCCTCAAAAGTAGCAGCTGTTCGAGATTGGAGCAGGCCGAAGAATGCGAAAGAAGTTCGAAGTTTCTTAGGCCTTGCGGGGTATTATAGGAAGTTTGTGGAAGGCTTCTCTGCTATAGCTCTTCCATTGACTACCTTGACCCGTAAGGGTAAGAAATTTGAGTGGACTGGTCGTTGTGAGGAGAGTTTCCAAGAGCTGAAAGATAGGTTGACATCTGCACACGTTTTAGCACTCCCAGAAGGCAAGGAAGGGTTTGTTATCTTCACAGACGCATCGAAGATGGGACTTGGAGCAGTTCTTATGCAGAATGAACGAGTTATTGCTTATGCGTCTCGGCAACTCAAGGACTATGAAGCGAATTATCCTACCCGTGACTTGGAGTTGGCAGCGGTGATACATGCGTTGAAGATTTGGAGACATTACTTGTATGGAGTCCAGTGCAAGATCTTCACTGATCACAAAAGCCTGAAATACATATTCACACAGAAGGACCTCAACATGAGGCAAAGAAGGTGGCTTGAGCTAGTGAAAGACTATGATTGTGAGATCCTTTATCATCCGGGGAAAGCTAACAAGGTAGCAGATGCACTTAGTAGGAAGTCTTCTGCAACAGTAATGTCCATGATGGTAATGGATCCAAGGCTGAGGAAAGAAATTGAAGATTTTGAGTCGGAGATTGTAGCAGCTATGACAACGACTCCATCAATATTTGGGAACATGGCTATGAAGCAAGAACTTGATCCTGAGTTAGTTAAGTTGAAAGAGTGTGTCAAGGAGGGAAAATGTCCCGAATTCCGTGTGGATCAAACTGGAAGATTATTACTCCATAATAGGTTGTGCATCCCAGACATTGAGGGGTTGAGGAAGCAGATTATGAAGGAGGCTCATGAGACATCATTTACTATGCATCCTGGTTCGACCAAGATGTACCACGACCTGAAGAAAAACTTTTGGTGGTCAGGGATGAAGAAAGATGTTGCAAAGTTCGTTCAGTCATGTTTGACATGTCAACAAGTTAAGGCTGAACATCAAAGGCCAGGTGGAGAACTTCAACCTATCCAGATTCCGGAGTGGAAATGGGATGAGATATCAATGGACTTTATTATGGGTTTGCCGAAGACAACTGGAGGTTATGACGCTATATGGGTTATAGTGGACAGATTGACTAAATCTGCTCATTTTATCCCAATTTCAGCAAGTATTTCTTTGGAGAAGTTGGCAAAAATATATATACAGGAGATTGTTAGATTGCATGGTGTTCCGAAGAGTATCATTTCTGATAGAGATTCCAGATTTACGTCTCACTTTTGGAAGTGTGTACAACAATCATTGGGCACGAAGTTGAAGTTTAGTACCGCTTTTCATCCTCAGACAGATGGCCAGACAGAGAGAACAAATCAGATTTTAGAAGATATGTTACGGGCATGCACTCTAGATTTTCAAGGAGGATGGGCAAAATACCTTAGTTTGGCAGAGTTTGCTTATAATAACAGTTATCAAGCAACCATCGGCATGGCTCCATATGAGGCGTTGTATGGGAGAAGGTGTAGATCTCCCATATCATGGCATGAAACGGGAGAAAAGAAGATTCTAGAAGAGGAACTACAAGGAAGGACTGAGTTGATAGATGAGACTTCAGAAGCTATTAAGACTATCCGACAAAGGATAGAGTCTGCCCATTGCAGACAGAAAAGTTATGCAGATGTTCGAAGGAGACCTCTAGAATTCGAAGTGGGGGATTTTGTTTTCGTCAAGATAGCCCCGATGAAGGGTGTGATGCGATTTGGGAAGAAAGGAAAGCTTAGCCCCAGATTCACCGGACCATATGAGATCACTAGACGAGTTGGGAAGGTAGCTTATGAGCTCGCGCTACCAGAAGAGTTCTCTGGCATTCATAATGTCTTTCATGTTTCAATGTTGAGAAAATACTTTGCTGATCCAGAGCATGTTTTGATACCCCCAATAGTAGAAGTGCAAAAAGATTTGTCATACGATGAGAAGCCGGTACAAATCCTTGACCGAGAGGTTAGACGTCTCCGGAATAAAGAGATAGCTCTAGTAAAAGTGTTGTGGCAAAATCAAAAAGTTGAAGAAACTACTTGGGAGGTTGAGGACGACATGAGGCGTCGTTATCCCGAGTTGTTCTAAGTTTCGAGGACGAAACTTTTATAAGGTGGGAGGGGTTGTGACACCCCGATTTTATGAGCTAGTCATATTAATCAATATTAATATTTATTTTAGTCAGTTAAATAAGTTTTTCTATGACTAATGTGATTTATTGTGTGATCACGTGTTGTTCTGGCAGGTAACGTTGACCGGTAAGCTGTAACAATTTTTAAGTGAAGGAAATAAGTAATGTTTTAAAGCTTAATCAATCTATTTTGAAATAGAGAATACTTTTAATGTTGGATTTTTTAAAGAATATTAGGAGCCCAAATCAATGTAGCCCAAATAAGTCTCTTTTATACTAAATCCCTAGAGAAGTTACGCCACTTTCTTCCATAAGAGCCGAGTACTACTCTATTTTCCTCCTCTCTGCAGCCGCGACCGTTTCTCCCACCTCCCATCTCCCTGATATCTTTGTTTTCCTTTTCCTTCCTCTGAGAAATTTTCCATTTAATCATAAAAGCTCTCATGCCGTTGTAGCAAAACTCTTGTCTGGTAAGTTCAAGTTCCAATCATTCGTATCTAGCAACTTTATGGATTAGTCAATTCCCTAATATAATCAGTTAGTTTAATTTTATTTATTTACTTTGAGGAGTGCTCTCATCCTTTGTTAGATCTCTAGGGGGCAGAGCAAAAAAAAAACCAGTATAATAAACTAGTAGTTAAAAAAATTTAGAAGCTCATTTTATATCCAGAAATTTTGTATCATATTTAGTTAGTAAGATTTTTCTTAAAGTGCGTATTTCACAGATATAGTTAGCAGTCATTCCAAATTTTATTTGAAGCTTGTATGCAACAGTAGTATATTTTATATCCCATTAGTTTTTTTAGCATATAATTTAACTTTAAATCTGTCACAGAAGAAGTCAATCTGTTTAGGGACTCTTTTTTTTAAAAAAAAAAAAGTTGATATCTAGCAAAGGCCGTTTAATTGAGTGGTTGGTCGGATATTTCAGAAAGACAACTTCGATTTTAGAGTATTGGCTTACAATAATACAGTTAAAGTTTTGGGTTATAGTAATAACGGGTTTTAATTGTAATGTTATACTACTTATCTAATTAAAGATTTCAAAGAAGAGTTTACCGGAAGACGTTATCAAGGTGCCATTCATATCTAAGTGATTTGAGTTCAGCTTTGACAGGTAAGTTCACTACCACCTGTACATGTTTGTTCAACCAAATGAAAGAAAGAAATCTGGTTGATTTTTAGTAGATGATTTTAGACTATTTGCTATTATGTGAGCTTAGTGAATTATTTGATGAGTTATTGTAATTGTTGTATTAAGTTATGTTTATTATCTGGCATAGTGAAGATTGTGTCAGTACTTAATTTCAAGATTTTAATGATGTTTTTACCCAAACGTCACTATAAAAAAGAACTAATATTTAAAGTGAAAGATCATGTGATATGTACTCGGGAACAAGTTCCCTCAGATTATCAGTTTAACAGTTTCAGAGAGTCCGATATGTTTAGTGGGTCGCTCCCCTGAGTTGTCGGATTGGCGCCTTTGAGTACATATCATGGGCCCACAGTTAAAATTAGCCACAAAGAGTTTTACAGAAAGTCTATGAGATTCCCTTTCAGAAAGTTTTATAGAAAGTTGCTTTCGAGATCTCTTTCAGAAAGTTTTACAGAGGTGTTTTGAGAAAGAAATTTTGAGATCTCTCCATTAGTTTTGAGAAATTATTTTAGAAAATATTTTTTAGAACCTCTCTTAGAATTTATTTTGAGAAGCTATTTGTTAGTTGTTTGTTTAGTGCACGCTTATAGCCTAAATTTATCTATTGATAAATTAGTACAGACTTCTCAGATATTTTGTGGATTCATAGTGACTTACTAAGCGTAAAGCTTATCAGTTTTCTTTCTTCGCATGTACAGATACTAAGGGTAAGGCCAAGGCCTAGGAAGATGATGAGGGAGTGGAACGCGTGCCAAGATGAGTTAACGGGAACGACCTTGGCGGATTCTAGCTAATTTTTATTTTACTCCAGTATTTCAGTTGTTAGAATAAAAGATTATTATTACTTTATTTTATTTGAGGATTGAAGTTTGAATAAATTCCTGGATCCAGGTGGTTATCACATTTGCTGATGATAACTAGATTTTATTGAGTTTTTATTTGGAGTTATATTTTAGTTATATTTGAGTTTTTATCAGGGTTATTTCTTAAACAAACGGCCGTTATATTGCAGTTTTTTTTTAGTACTAAGTTTATGTAACGTTTCCTTTAACCCTGAGAGGGACGTTACACAAATTGAAGCCTCAACGTGTGCCTTGTTGGTCACTTTCTTTTTCCACTCTCCAAGAAATCTGCAAAGTAAAATAAAAGTGGTACACAGATTAATGTTGTTATGAAATAAATATTCAAAGATAAATGAAATTGTGACTAACCTTTCAAATCTGTACATCCAGCGATAGAAGACGGGTCCACCATTTAAAGCCTCAAACGGAAGATGTATTACAAGATGTTCCATTCCATCGAAAAACGATGGAGGCATTATCTTTTCCAAATTACACATCAGCATGGGAACAGACTCTTCTAGTCTACGGAGGGATGTTGCATCCAAAACGCTTGAGCATATCGACTGAAACAACAAACTGATCTCAGTAATGCAGGACCATACGTGTTCAGGAAGCATCTCTTTCAGTGCAATTAGGAGAAGTCTTTGCATGATTACATGACAATCGTGAGTTTTCATGCTCGACGTCGTTGCTAGTTTGTCCATGTCCACGCATCTGGACAAGTTGGAGCAGTAGCCATCTGGAAACTTCAGAGACACAAGCCATTGTAATATTGATTCTTTTTGTGCTTGTGTGACTTGGTAGACAGCTTTTGGAATATTGTTGCCCTGATATTCTAGATCAACAGATAGTTCAGGCCTATCACACCAAATAGTAATATCTTTTTGAGATGCAAGACCGTCTTTAGTTTTACCTTTGAAATCCATCACTGTGTTAAATATATTGTCAAACACGTTCTTCTCAGTGTGCATGACATCTATATTGTGACGAATGAGAAAGTCTTTCCAATATGGTAACTCCCAAAAGATACTCCTCTTTGTCCACTTATGGGTATCACAAAACCCATATGGCTTCTTATTTGGTTCTTGCATAACCGTAGGAATACGTCGAACCCGGTTAAAAATTGCTTCCCCGGTCAATCTCGGAGACGGGGTGTCTTTTACCACTCTACCTCTAATGAAAGACTTTTTGTCCCTTCGATATCGGTGGTTTTCCGGGAGAAACTTGCGGTGACAATCAAAGTAGCTTGGTTTTTTACTGAAAGTTAGCCAATTGGCACCTGATTTCTCCATGCATATCGGACATCCCATAAGACCATGTGTGCTCCATCCCGAAAGCATGCCATAGGCAGGGAAGTCGCTAATGGTCCAAATGATGGCAGCTTTCATTATGAAATTTTGATCCCTTGAAACATCATATGTTGGTGTCCCAATGGCCCAAAGTTCTTTCATCTCCTCGATAAGGGGTTGGAGATAAATGTCTATTTTTTTCCCTGGATCATTGGGACCCGGACAGATTAGAGTCAAAAAGATAAAGTGACTTTTCATGCACATGTCGGGAGGGAGATTGTAAGGAGTTAACATGACCGGCCAACATGAATAGTTCTTCCCAAACTTTCCAAATGGAGCAAATCCGTCTGAATACAATCCCAGTCGCACATTTCGTGGCTCCATTGCAAACTGAGGATGACAACGGTCAAAGTGTCTCCAAGCTTCACAGTCCGAAGGGTGAGACATCATACCCTCTTTTGTTTCGTGCTCAACATGCCATGTCATGTGTTTCGCAGTAGCAGTCGAAGCGTACATCCTCTGAAGTCGTGGAGCTATTGAGAGGTAATACAATTTAGACAATGCCGACTTATTTCGTGGTTTCTTTCTACTTTGAGGAACTGGTTTGTATCTGTTTCCACCACAGAACTTGCAGAATTCAAGTGTCTCATCATCCTTCCAGAACAACATACATCCTTTCGGGCACGCATCAATTTCTATATAAGGTAGCCCCAACTTAGACATTAATTGCTTCATGTGATAATATGAATCCGGAAGGTTATGATCACGTGGTAGCATCCCGCCTACTGACTGCAAGACTCTGGTCATGCAAGTTTCAGGGAGACTGTATTCAGCTTTTATGTTCATAAACTCTGTAACGGTGGATAGCTGAGAGTATCCCTCACAATCAGCATACAAGGGTTGATCAGCTGCTTTTAAAACATCTTGAAATCTTTCAGCTAAACCTTCATCCACATAAGGTTCATAAAATATCGGATTTTCATCCTCATGTGGTTGATACGAGGTCGAAGCTTCAGGAGGATCGTTAGATGGTTGTGGGGGGTTGAACTGAGACATCGATGCACCGTATGCGTCATATACCATACGTTGCTCCCATCTCATTTCAGCAGGGTCTCCCCACGCACTCATCTCTGCAGGGACGTTACGAGACGAACCTACCGTTTGTGGTAAAACAGATGGATCCAAAGGTTCGCCATGAGAAGTCCAATTGTAATAATTGGGAAGGAAACCGTCCGCGTACAAATCCCACCCAACTTCTTCTGGGTGTTTAAATTTGAGATTTTTACACTTTGAACATGGACATCTGATTTTATCACCACTCATATAAGCCGGATGTTCAAGTGCGAATTTAATAAACTCCTCAACTCCTTCAAGAAAATTTGATTGCATTCCGTACAATACCGCATGTTTATCATACATCCAAATTCTATTTTGTCTATACATTATGCCTGAATATTATAATAAAAAAATTATACAGGTTAAAAACTCTAAATTATAAACATTACCAACATATTATATGTGGAGTATTATTAATATATTAAAATCAACTAATTCCCTAAAATTCCCTTAAAATTAACGAATTCCCTTAAAATTAACTAATTTCCTTAAATTTCACTAAAATTCACTAAAATTCCCTTAAAATTAACTAATTCCCTTAAAATTAACTAATTCCCGTAAAATTAACTAGTTTACTTAAATTTCACTAAAATTTCCTTAAAATTAACTAATTCCCTAAAATTCACTTAAAATTAACTAATTCCCTTAAAATTAACTAGTTTCCTTAAATTTCACTAAAATTCACTAAAATTCCCTTAAAATTAACTAATTCCCTAAAATTCCCTTAAAATTAACTAATTCCCGTAAAATTAACTAGTTTACTTAAATTTCACTAAAATTCACTAAAATTCCCTTAAAATTAACTAATTCCCTAAAATTCCCTTGAAATTAACTAATTCCCGTAAAATTAACTAGTTTACTTAAATTTCACTAAAATTCACTAATTCCCTTAAAATTAACTAATTCCCTTAAATGTCACTAAATTTCACTAAAATTTCCTTAAAATTAACTAATTCCCTAAAATTCCCTTAAAATTAAATAATTTCCTTAAATTTCACTAAATTTCACTAAAATTCCCTTAAAATTAACTAATTCCCTAAAATTCCCTTAAAATTAACTAATTCCCTAAAATTCCCTTAAAATTAACTAATTCCCTTAAAATTAACTAGTTTCCTTAAATTTCACTAAAATTCACTAAAATTCCCTTAAAATTAACTAATTCCCTAAAATTAACTAATTCCCTTAAAATTAACTAATTCCCTTAAAATTAACTAGTTTCCTTAAATTTCACTAAAATTCACTAAAATTCCCTTAAAATTAACTAATTCCCTAAAATTAACTAATTCCCTTAAATTTCACTAAAATTTCCTTAAAATTAACTAATTTCCTAAAATTCCCTTAAAATTAACTAATTCCCTTAAAATTAACTAATTCCTTTAAAATTAACTAATTTCCTTAAATTTCACTAAATTTCACTAAAATTCCCTTAAAATTAACTAATTCCCTAAAATTCCCCTTAAAATTAACTAATTCCCTTAAAATTAACTAATTGCCTAAAATTTCACTAAAAATCACTAAAATTCACTAAAATTCCATTAAAATTAACTAACGTCCAATAATTAATATTATTAAACTATAAACATGCACAATACGTTAATGACATTAATTTAATCCACAATACTAAAATTATCAACATCTTAATCTTATTAATAATGCACATTTAACAATTTACGTACTAAATTAAATAATATGAGCAAATCCAATAATTTGAGTATATATATAATAAACACATTTAAATTAAATTAACTAACCCTAATTTAAATCATTATTAATCCTAAATTAGGCCGCCTTAATTAACAATAATTGCCAATATAAAGAAATCATATACTTATATTTAATCATATATATATATATATATATATATATAAAGTCATTTGAATTAAATAATACTTACATTTATTAACTAATATTAATAATATGCATTTAAATTATATTTAATCATATATACTTAATTACATACGTATTTAACTAATTTACGTAATTTTAATCCTATATTTTAAAATTAATAACATATGTATTACCAATATTATATTTAATAATATACTTACATATGTATTTATTAACAAATTTACATATTTAACTAATTTACAAAAAAATACGTAATTCAAATTACATACCTTATCTGCATAAACAGGAAAAATGATATGAGATGGGTAGATTACATCCTTCAATTCTATCTGGAATTCTATCTGGAGTACGTAGAAGGTGTGATTTTGTTGAATGAAGCCGAGGCTGCATATATAAATTTTGTAGTCACGGACTTAGTCACGGATGTGTCCGTGACTACATTTTTTTTTTGTATGAATTGTCGGTGCACTTTAAATTTGGAACGTTGAAAAAATCAATTTTGCACTTGTCACGGGATTAGTCACGGACACGGGAGGCGAAAATGGATTGGCCGGAACACTTTAGTCACGGACTAGGTCACGGACAAATCCGTGACTACTTTTTTTTTAACGGTTTCGTGACTAAACCGTGATTAGAACTGTGACTAACTAGTCACGGACCAAATCCGTGACTACGGTCCGTGACTACAGGCGAATTTTTTTGTAATGCATACTTTTTCATTTTTGTGTGTACTATGTACTATCTTTTTTATTTGTTGTGCATGTATCGAGTAATATAATAGTGGTAAATCTTGACTT